CACTGTTTGTTTCACCAAGCATTTTAAATGTTTTCTTTTTTCACTTCTTCAACGTCCATTTTGAATACGAGTTAACCGGCCGAATAGGAAGTTAACCCACCTAGCGAGAAGGATTAAATTTAACCATTATTTTAACCGAGAGTTAAGGATAACTTATCTTTGAACAACGCAAAGTAACCTAGGGTTAAAATTTAACTCTAGGTTAACAGATTTAACCCTAGGTTAGCGTTAATCGGCTTTTGAACAACCGGCCCCAGCACGCTTTATCTATTTCTATTTCCTTATCGCTAATTATAACAAGACGGCAAGCAAATATTTTACTTATACCTTGAAAGAACGTAATACATTACTGGAACTCTAAGCTAGACATCAAGAGATAGGAACATAGTATATAAATGGACTTCTGACAATTTGAAACGACAACGTTTGTTGTCATTTTGTAGTTGACGTATGTGATTAATATGTGCATGCTAATACCATTGTGCAGTGAACAGTTGGTGTTACGTTTTCTTCCTGTGAAGAACACTACCATTTATTTATACCCCATCTGGGACGACATTCAACGCTCTCATTAATAACGTGACAGATCATCGCCATGCACACTGTTTCACAAGTATAAAAAACATACCTTTACCAAAGAATTTTCTAAGCTCATTTCTTTCTCTCCAATCACATGTTCTAACAATTCTGTGTACTTCAACTGGAAGATTAGGGAATAGGTTAAGGAAGTACTCCTGGGGATCGCCCACAATATAGAATGCTTCGGGTTGTGGCTTCCAACGTGGTCGGTCATGCCAGTGTTCGTTAACATTTCGAATAAGTCTTAAACACTCTGTCCATGACGAGTTATAAGAATATGTTCTTGGTTTTCCATTTACAATATCGGTGCATAAATACTTTAGAACATCGGCTCTCATCAAAGTTTTCCAATTCTTCCGATTATTGTTCAACTTGTGCACAACATCGCAGTTGCTATCCAATTTTTTAACCTCAGGTTGGTTTCCAATTTTACACAGCATTTGAAATTGCTGCTCCTGCGGTTGAAGGTAAGGGTGTTTTAGCGCTTCTTCAGCAGACGGTCTAGCTTTGGAATCGTGTCTCAGCATCCAGGAAATCAAATCTTTCGCGGAAGAATCATCTACCATATCCAAATTCACTGCATTGTCATCCAGTAAGTTGCGAAGTCGGTCAGCTTCTGCTCCAAAGGGATGTTCACCATTTGTCATGATATAGAATGCCACCATTCCAGCCACCTATAAGTATGACAAAAGCAATTTGGAGCAGTTTAGGGTACGTTTACACACCGCGAATTCTTCGGCAGATTTAGGGGATTTTTAATGATTTTTGAAAAATACGTGGCAAACCTGAAAAATTCACTAATAGAGAAATTTAGAAACTATGACGCGATGTCAAAAACAACGTGAAAATGACGTAGAGAGAACCGACTTCCCGTCCTGTTTAGGTGTTCAGAACGTCGTTCATGTCCATTTTAGATTTCCACATTCCTTCTACAACGTCACAGCTTTATACTTGTTTTAAATTTATACTTGTAATTTTATAGAGCTAGTATTATAAAGCTTTTTCTCGCACATATCTTGACAAAGGATTGAAGAAATAAAAGAAAGAATGGGCGGCAAGAAAACAAAAAATTTGCGTCAAGAAAGATACACATCCAGACTCAGGTGTATTATATCATTCTCACGTCATTTTTGACGTCGCGTCGTGTTTTCAAAATCTGCCTAATATTCCGCATCATTAACATTCATGCAGTGAAACTTAAAATCGGTTTATGTACTCTTATAAATGTGCCCTTACGGAATTGTCCTTGGAAATATAATACGGCTTTAATTGCACTAATTACCTCAACCTATACATATGGATATCAGGAAAACCTCATCAAATAATTTTTTATAATTGTGCGCTTTTTACTATGCATGTTTATCATCAAGAAAATTTTACCTGAATATCGGATTCTTTCCTGTAAAGTACTTTGCCATCATCAGATATTCCCTCTTTAGGATATGTTTCAACAGCTATCCAATCTTTAGTTCCCTTCTGATAAGTTAGAACAGTACTGGCATCTCGTTTGCTGATTCGACTGTTACCAAAGTCTGCCAGCAACCAATTACCTTGGACGTTTCGCAAGATATTGGATGGTTTTAAATCACGATGCAAAATAGGCATCGAACCGCGATGGAGATCAGCCAATCCTTGCAAAACGTGCTTAATGATATCTGGCGCGATTGCTACCAAATCCTGCAAACTGCTACGATGAACAAAATCTTTCAACGTTTCCTCGCACAAATCTAATATTAGAAATAAGTCCTCCTTGTCGCTTTTTTCGTCTAAAAACCAGTAATTTACCACATAGGTTGATTCGCTTGCTTTGTGTTTGCTCAAAACTTGCTTTTCGTGTTCAGCTGACCAAGCGCAAGCGTCTTTACGCATACGTTTCACGGCCCTCTCAACTCCGTCGTTTCCTAATCCTACATAAACGCGAGTACCATCACTACCACTACCAATGCAAAACTTTTTCTCGAAACAAACGCGCACTCCGTTGATTTCCTTGATATCTTCTGGATGCTCTCGTCCGTATTCGATCAATTGAATGAATTTTTGTCGATGAACTTTTGAACTCTCTTGCCATTTCCAGGATTGTGGTCTGTCTACAAAGTGGAAAAGACAAGACAATCACCATAATAATCCTCTGTTATCCACCAAGCCACCAAAAGTACACCCAAATCTACAGTGTTTAAACAGATAACTAACACGGAGTTTCCTTGAAGGGTAAACTGAAAGTGGTGGTAAAGTGATGGGAAAATCCACGTGCAAAACACAAAGAGGCCCAAGCTTTTTGTTATGTTGGCATCGATTCTTTTCTTGCCCCGCGCTATAACCATTCTTACAGTTGGTCAATGAATTATATTTAATTAATGAATAAATTTAAATATTTTACCCGCTTGGCGAAAAATAATGTAAAATGAAATTGTTTATTAATTAGTTGTCCAATAAGACGCGGTTATGTTTTCGAAAAAACACATAATAATAACTTTCAAACCGAGAGCGAAGACTGTACGGGATAATATCAAACCTAGGCTTTGTTGTATTGACCGAGCTTTCGTTTTCGGCCGTTGCCGTTCACAGCTTGTGTCGCATATGACCAGGGAGAATGCCTTGAACAATTTTCAAGTAAAATCGCTGATATATTTTGCGAGCGCATGCCATTAATTTCTGGCAATACCTCTTGTTTAGATGATTCCATCTGCGCTTGCGCTATACATAGGACATTATACTGTTAAAATGTTCACCAAATGTCTTGGACCGTAGATTATCGTGGACTATTAAACTGATTCTTCTTCTACACTAGCTAGAATCTAAAATATAACAAAGGGGTGGCTGACATGCTTTTCCTGGACTGGATGCTTCAGCCAGGACGATGCAAGTCACAAGCATAACATAAGATGTCAAACCACATACTGATCAAAACAAAATCGTGTACTTTAAAAAGATTATGACTGATTAATTAACCTGCTTTGAACAACCCATGTGTAATTGTATAATAAACTGGCACAAAAATACCTCGTGCATCCGAAGATGGTTCACCTGATTGTCCACTATTGCTTCCAAAACAATTCTCGTCTTTCTAGAAAATTAAAATTAAATTTACCTGTGTTAGAAACAAGAATATGTGTTAATTATTACAAATTTCACAAGAAGTTTAAAGGCAAACTGGGCGAGATTAAGCATGGCTCAAAATTAAATTTAACCCACCGTAGCGAAGGCACGCTGCATGCTGCTTCATGCATATGCGTGGATTTTGCGTGACCGCAAAGGATTAGAAAAAATATTTTTCTTAATTGTTGAAATATTTGAACAATTGTCTGAGAATCATTGGTTCTTTTAAATTAATCATATTGGAAATGTACAAAACAAGATACACTACAAGATGAAAACAGTAACAACAGCCCACAATACATGCCCCTGAAGTTCTGAACTTAAGAATATTCGTATACATGCATGTATCACTTGGTTTCCCCTGGGCACTGAATTGCCATGGGATGAAGAATTTTAAATGGCTGCCAAAATCAAATAACCTGCAAAAAACAATAGTCTTTCTGCTTTTGCATACTAACTGAAGCTCAAAACAATTATTTTTTATGAAATAAGTTTTTGATCACGTGGTTTTGTTATTTAACTTTAAATATTGACATACAATTAATACTGTGTAACAAAGAAAGAAATCGTGTTGTCAGAAACTTTACAAAGTAGAAAGGTAGATATGTATACTGCAGATGTTAGACAATCCAAAAGTTTTTAAAACCAGCTGCTGCAATGACGGTAAAGCTTATTTTCTGATCCACTATTTAAATTAAGTGACAATTAGTCACGTGTTGTTATAAGGCAACCAGTTAATCGATCTGTTTTTTTGATTATATTGAGTGGCTGTACAACGTTTACGGCATTGCTCCTAACTTAACCGTTTGCTGCCAATGAAGGTTGTCGTTAGCCTACTACCTTGGAGCAATTTTTGCACTGAGAGCCATGCCTTAATACCATAAAAATAATAGATATAGAATGCGTACTCCTATCATTTTTCAGTAAAAGTTTTGTGTGCACTGCTGCACAAAATGGCGCATTTCAAAGGGGCATTTTGGCTCGCCCCACACCCCTGCGGCGGGGAATTTCGCGCGGTTGCGGCAGTGTGAATTGTATTTCAACAAAGTTTGCAAAAAAATTTATATCGAAACTTAAAATGGAAAATATGTTTCGTAAAGGAGCTACTCATTTTGAAAACCCATCCTTATGGGGTTTTCAAAAAAGCAATAGTTCTGAACAGGATATATACAGAAATCCTTCTTTAAACTACCTTTTCAAGTTTGTGACAACCAAAACAAAACACAAAACACGGGACGAAAAAACAGATTTGCAATAAATTTATACACTTGCAAATTAGTTGCAAATTCAATAACTAATTTTGCAATATATTTGCGTATGAAGTGTTTTAGATTTTCAACCACTAAATTTACTTCAAATTTGCAAGCTGCTTTGCACAATCTGCAAATTTATTTGTAACTTTGCAACAAATTTGCCAGCGAAGTAAATTCATTGCGTAAATTGACTTTGCCAAAAAAAATACTAATGACTTTGCCATAACAAATTTCCTGTGGCATATGTATATTTAAATTTACAACAAATATGCCAGCGAAGTAAATCCGTTGCGTATTTATTACACATTTTAACTCTTCATGACTTTGCAAGAAATTACTAATACCTTTGCAATATGAAATTTCAATGGCAAATTTATATCTAAATTTACAACAAATTTACAATCGACGCAAATTCATTGCGTATATTGACTTTGCAAAAAATTACTAATGCCTTTGCCGTATGAAATTTCAATGGCAAATTTATATCTAAATTTACAACAAATTTGCCCGCAAAGTAAATTCATTGTGTATTTACGTTTCAAATATTAACTCCTTTTTTATTCACTTTGCGAATAGTTCATA